GATACATTTAATAATATCACAACTTCTGTATGTATGTCAGAAGAATCATAAATCACCTGCAAGTAGGAGAAACTAGGCCCTGTGTTGTTTCTCGTCATTCATACCAGTTGATTTCACGTCAGAGAAAACATTGCAACATCATCATTCACACTTTTTCTAACTATCCACTCCACGTATGCCGATATCCGTGTTTCAAAGGGAAGTGTTAACGTTACTAGGTGAACAGCCCTCTTACAGTCATGATAAAGGGAGCTAAGTTAAGGGTACTAGCTTGCGGGATGCCAACCCCAAAATAGGATGGCTAGCTAAAAGGCTAACTAGCTTATAGCTAGCATGCTACTTCTTCCTGCCCAAGTCCCATCAGTTTCAAGGCATCAGCTAGCAACTAGCAGGAAGCTAACGGTAGCTCAGCTATCGCTAGCAAATGGTCATCTTATTTGAAATTTCCCCACATTTGCACTGACAGCTCGGCAAAAGATGGTGCTGCTGTTAAACAAAACAGGTTACTGAGGTCAAGTGTGGACTTTTGAATAATACGTACCTCTGTACAGTATTTACTTGTTATAAAACTCAAGTTTCACCGCTGTCACAGGCTTGGTTTGTCTCACTTACAGGTCTTCCCTACCTCTTGGATTATACCATGTCTCATATGGGGGTGTGTCATGAATAAGACTAAATTAGGCGTGAAGCTTTTTGCTTTTTGTCTTCGTAAAGTGTCTTTGAGATATTTTCGATTTGAAACAACGTATGCGATATTTATATATACTGATGAGAAAAAGACCAAACGCACTCATATTTTAACCATAAGAACACCCATATATCCATGGTATCGTCTAAAACTACGGAAACCGCTTAGGTCTTGAGTATTAAAAATACAACCACAGACGTTGTAAAGATTTTAGTGAATTTTGTGTCTGGTCTGGTAAAGAAAGAAAATTCAAAAATTTTCCCCACTGCTGAAATTATACACCTCGTATACATCTATATTTATTCACAAAGCAGCTGCTTGTTTTCTATGTCCTATGAAATTTTCACTGAAATCCCTTTTCAGTAATTGACACAAACTTTACTGTTGTGAGAGGTATATATCCGCATTTTTTCAAAAAGTCGTTTGCAAATAACGGTGTTAATTGTGTATGCACTTTTTAAACCAAAGGAACCTTAAAAAAACATATATGGATGTTTGCAACGTTGAATGAAAACTACTTACTTAGCTAACTAAGAATGGAAGAAAAATCAGCCAATCAGAATCGTCGAAAGAATTACTGCCTAACGTTTATCGGGGTTAGCCAAGATTTTAAACAATGCAAACTACAGACACAATTAATGGCAATGTATTAGTCAGTTAATTGTTTAACTGTCTTTTCTTTTTATTCTGATTGTCACTCAAGCTCAACAGGTAGGCTATAGTATATTTAACCTGAGTACAACTAACTTGTTTACTAACAAGTTATACAACGCTAGCTAGCTCGTCATTATGTAAAAGTTAAACACACTATAGCAGCAATATCCGTTTTAGTTAGCTTGACCGAAATCATCCACTTATGTAATTTATTATTATGATTATTAGCTTAACCTACAACTAAACAAGGTAGAAAAACCTTCATCGTTTGATCTAACCAGCAGAGGGAGCCATCCAAAACAAGTGTTTGTTGTCCACTTGTTTTCATCACATTACAAGTGACACTTCATGATAGAATTTTGTCCCTCTGACAAACTGCATTCATGTCAGGCAGCAGCAGTATCCAACTGCAAACTGACCTCTCCCATTCTTTCTTTGACTCAGAAAGTAGTGAGGCAAAACAGATAAATGCTCCATAAACTGAGGTAACTGGTTGAATCATTACACCCCAGTGACCAGTTTAATTTATTCTTCAAACTTCTTTAAGATACTGGCAAATAATGGTATGGCAGATAGTGGCAGCTCAGAAACATCTCCTTTTTAATTGTCTTACTGTATCTATATTGCCTTAAATCTCAGCTAAAACATACCCTAACTCTAATTCTCTTTAATCACTAAGGTGAAATCAGAGTGACCACCCTGATCAGCAGCCCCATCAGTGCCTGTTAGAATGGACCATGTGAAGATAAAAGAGAGATGTCAGCCACCTGGACCTGTGCCTTACGTTGATGCACCTGTGTGCCAGCAAACCAGCTGCAATCAGTCTTGTAAGCATGACTGAAAGCATATGCAATAGCACCAACTACACCTACTACCTCTTCTACTACTAATAGTGATACCATTACTACGGCTGCTGCAACTTATAGTCTTTTTTAATAGAACCACCACTGATACTGCTAACAAAAACAAGTTTACATGTACACAGCCGCCACCACCACTTCCTTGTCTTATAAAGTTTTCATGGCTAATGTGTTAGCAAACAGTTGCTTTTGTACACATCCAGCAGAGACAGAGCAACATTATCATCCTGTTACAGTAATTTTTATGTGCACCAATTGAATGCCAGTCCAATATTCACTCTCCTTTTCTCTCTATTGGTGGTCTTCACAACTCCTGAGGGAGATTCCGGGTGTAAGTCTTTAGCTTGCTAGATGTTGAAATGTGCGACCAACAGCCAAGGGTAATTGTTTGTGTCTGATATTTCGTACTAGTAAATAATTTCATATGTCAAGGGAACAGTCTCAAAATTCCTCAAAAACCCTGTATCAGAAAAATAGTCCCAAGTTGACACTAACAGACACGGATACACTATCATATCATTATGCAGATGACAGACACTTTGATCAATCTCAACCCACCTTTTTTAACATGGTTTGCCATGGTGATGTAGTTAATAATAAACTGTTACATTGAGAAAATTATGGTTGTGTAATTAAATTGCCTAATCTATTAACATTTACTTGGCCCTTTCACTTGTTTATCCTCCCAGTTGAGTTTTTTCCAGGAGGACCTGTCAACTTCCCGCCTGAGGGGACACAGACCCAGCCTTCTATGGCCATGACCGGCACACAAACACCGGAGCCTCCACCAAGCACCTTTCAATACTATGGGGAGACTCTGAATTACGCGAACCGTTATTCTATGCCTCCAATGCCAGGTAACTTTGTTTAACTTTATTTCCAGGCTTGGGTGTATTGTAAAAGTATCAGAACCTATACAGTTGCAGTATGGTGCTCAACAGTTATCACTGTCACAACAATAGGGTCCAGAGTTTGATTATTTACCCTAGTCCTCTGCATGGAGTTTTCCCCTTCTTTTTCTGTTTGTGTAGTGTCCTCTGGGTCCTCCAGTTAATTCCCCATCAAAAGACAGGGCAATGATACTTGGTTCTTTGCCCACGATCAAGGCAATGGTCTCAGAGCTTTAGTAATTATATAATAATAAATAACAATAATAATGTCATACTGTGCAAAAATATACACAAAAAGAGAGTAGAAACTTTGTTGTTGCCATAAAAAAAAGCCTGATCTATAATTGCGTTCTTGGTAACCTTATGTTTCTACGTTTCAAAGTTGGATTTTTTCAAGGGGGTCCCATCAAGTTTCTGCATGAGGGGACACATAAAATGATGTCTATGGCCATGAGCAGCACACAAACAGTACAGCCTCTGCCAAGCGCACCTGTGGACACCGCTGTGTACAACAGGGAAATGCTGCATGGCCTCCAGACGAATAGAATGTCAACAGTGTCAGGTAACACGCTGCACAGACCACTGCAACTGAAATGTTAGTATGGGTAGAAAAAAGATAAGATAGGGATAGTTGTTCAGGGTTTCCTGCATCAACTCTGTAAACATCAGATGAAATTATTATAATGATGTGAAACTAAATCAACCTTCGGGGTAAAGAGACAGCCACTAAATCATACAGAAAGGGACACATGTGAGCAGGACCACTGATGGATTAGATACATACATAATAAACACATAAGATTCATTTAAATGTTTTAATTTAAATTCCATCACATGCCAATTAATATAGAATTAACAGGTTTTGTTAAACTTAATTTAACAACAATTAATTAACTCTGCACTCGAATGTCCTGCCTGCCTGCACAGAGAACAGCTGTGCACAACACTTGATTTGGGTTGTGTGTTACCAGGTTGTAGCAGTAACAGATGGGTTGAAATTGTATGTATGTGTGTGGATTGTGTCCAGCTTGTGTTTCGTACCAAGTCTAGCAACTTGGATAACGTCAGACATACAAAAAGTATGGATCCATGTACGATGAATGTTTATAATAAAGGTTGAGGGCCATGCATATTCCGGGAGGACGCCGGGAGATTACCTAAAATACGCTAGAGTCCAGGGAAAACTGCATCTTGGCAGGTATGATATAGCTTGGAAGATTTTATCATTCACAGGGTTTATTTTAGCACTTTTACTTTTGATACTTAAAGTCCTTTTTTTTACTTAAGTAACATTATTAATGCAGGGATTTTACATGTAACAGAGTATTTTCACTTCAGTAAAGATCTGAATACTTCCTCCACCACCTCCCCACTGTTTCATATTCCTTTAACAGAACTCAAGTCCTCTTTGTTCCTCTGTCATGCCTGCAGAGGGAGCCAACTCCTTTAGCTTTGTCTGTGAAGTTTATCAGCTGAGAGGTAATATTTTGCTGTGGTGGTGAATAAATATACAGACACTCTGTGGTATTAAAGTACCATTTTCAAAGTGACTTCTATCAAGATATACCATTTTTATTTCTAGCAATTAAAAAGCACTGTATGTTAGCAAATGTTGTTTCTGGCTTACACACACAAAGTTTTAATCATAAAAGAGGTTTCTGTGTTTGTTGGAGCCCAAATGATTCAAAGCTCTACTGCCTGTCCATTTTCAGCAAGCCATATCTTCAGTGTTGTCCTTCAGTCTCGCTGAAGAACATTCCTTCCCAAAGACAAACAGCAGAGCCCCTGACTCATAGTGCTGTGTTGAGTAGAGAGCAAACCATACTGTTGACATCAGGAGGCCAGTGATGTCATGCTGATGTCAATGCCTCTAATTGTAAATTGCACACATAGCCTCGCTGTTCGCTGTGGTAACATTTCAGTCAGAGAGAAGACTCTGAAGGGGACACTTTCTCTTGGAAAAGCTGGGAGTAGATTTAGTATGGCTGTAACTGGGGATGAGACAGAAACAGGTATGTTTGCTATCATCTTCTTTGCTGCCTAAAAGTCTTTTTTTTTTTAAACATTCTTGTTAAATTGAAATATTAATTTATGAATGTCTTAAAATATAGTTAGTGGTAATTAATGTCAGCAATCAGTGTGGGAAAATTCAGTTAATTCAGGAGTATTGGAATTAAAAAGTTATTGTGAGCTTCCTTACATATTTATACATGTTTTTCAGTGACTACACCACCACCATTATAATATCCAACAGTTCCTTAAAATAAGCTGGCTTCTCTGAGTAGCTGATCTCTGATTACAAAAGTAGCAAAGGATCCAATGAAATATTAGCCTCATTTTCTCTCACAGTCAGCTGTAACAAGCTTATAAAGAAAGAAACATTTACACTGACCCTGCTTGTGTGTCTTTCTCTCTCTGTCTCTCTCTCTCTATCTATCTCTCTCGCTCTCGCTCTCTCTCTCTCTCTCTCTCTCTCTCTTTCTCTTTCACCTGCTGGCTCTCACTCTCTCTCTCCCCTCTGTGAAATGCTTCAGTGCTCTGCCCACTCACAGCACATAGCAGCAGTAGCTGACGTCACTGCTTTTCCTGGAACAGGCCCCCAGCAGCGACATGTAAATGTGAACCAGTGAATACGATGTACATTGACGTCAGCTGCTGGCCATGCTGTGATAATATGCAGTTCCCTTTGATTCCAACATATCACAGAATTAATTATCAGTGTATTATAATACGAGGAGCAGTGAGTTCTACTGGCACTGAGCAAACAGTGAACAGAAGGATAAGTAGATAAAAATTTCACCATCTGTAACTCTGTACTTTTTTTTCAGTGCCACACATTTGATAAGATCTTATCCCAAGGACCTTTACAACACAATATGTGGTTGATTTAGTTTGGAGGAAGAGAACTATATGTACCCTGGAGAGATAAAAGAAGAGGGAATTAAATGTTGAATTCAGTCACTTATACGCATAATATATGATTATATACATTTATAATTTTTATTATTGTCATTATCATTATCTATTTACCACAGCCTCATATGCGATACTTAATTTCACAGCACATTATTTATGAGCATGGGATAGACAAAATCTTTGAAATCTTTAACATCTAGTGAAACTACAGTGAATTTACAATGACTTTCTGAAACATCCTCATGAAACCTTTGAAAATGAGAGCCTCAACTTTAATAGAGAAAAAAAGTCATACTGAAAGAAGTTATTTAGGCTATGCTAGTTTTATCTGTCTCTAAACACAGTGCACCAGATCTTTTTAAATTTAATGTAAATGTTTTCTAAGTGGAAATTTGTACGTTATTACCAATTATTAAAAATTTAAATAAAACCCATTGCACCTCGCAATCTACTGGCATAGGGATAAGTTGTTACAAATATTTATACTAAGTGCAACTATTGCACCAAACACACTACCAACATTAGCTTGCTAATATAAGACCCATTTATATTGATCAGTAAAATTAGTAATAAGATATTGCTGACATATCTATAAAATTCTGTTTAATAGAAAGACATAACACAGTATAGTTTAACTCAAATTTCCATATGTTATGCTAATAACATTAGCCTAAATTGCCAAAAATAGCATTCATTAAGTTAGCATAATCTGATAATTTTCCTGCTCATTCTCGTTTGAATAGAACTAAAGTCCATAAAAGTCCATTCATTTGCAAAGCATTGGCAGTAAAGTTTAGTTAAAGTTTAATCTTTAATTAATTGCTTTGCCCCATTAAACTGTAACATAACTTATTTTAAGGCTTGCTGTGACAATAGTGATTTGCTGTATGCACAATTGATAACTTAATAGGAGGGCACAACAGATGTTTCCTGGGAACAAATTCTTACAAATTACTGAAGTCTTTAAAACATAAGATATAACTTTAGTTTGACTGGTGCAACCTAGTTTAGGAAATCATTAGTTTGAAACTAGCAAGTTTAGTAGTTTCTTAGGAAGAATTTTATACACATGCTTCTTAATAGATTTGTAATGGGCTTGTTTTGTGTCTCCCCAGGTTCCACAGGTGACTTGACTGCCAGCCAGCTGCATAAACCTAGCTCCAGCCTCCCACAGGGGGTGGCAGGAGCCAGTGCTCATACCCCAATGAAACCTGTCGCAGACGCCTTACAAAAGAGAGAGCTCCGCTTGATGAAGAACAGGTAGAGAGGACCATTCACACTCATGAGCCTTGACATTAGACCGATAAATGAGCCATACCTATATTAGCAGCAGATATTATCAGCTGATATTGGCTATATTAGATATATTGGTATCAGTGTATATAGTGGCTCGTAATTAAAGTGAAATTTCGGTACAGAATGCCAAAAATAAGGAGCTTATTTGCTTTCTTACTGCGAGCTACATGAGATGATTGATACCGTTCTCATGTCTACGCTAAGTGGAGGAGGAAAGGAACAGCCAGCATCTGATTAGCTTAACGTAGCGTAACAACTGGAAGTAGGGAATGCACCTACTGTGCCAGGACCTTAAGCTCATTAATGAAGACGTTTTATCTTGTTTATTTAAGAACAATGTCTCTGTTACATGACTTTTTCCAACAGAGTGCACTGACTAACACATTTAAGGGATCCTTACCCAAAAATTTTCTATGTTTGTATAACAAAATGACTATTGGCCAGTTTATTGTTGGAACTCTCAAATGTTAATATCGGTATTGGCCTTGGACACAGCAGTCTGGCTCTATTGGACACCTTCACTGTATGTCCCTCGGAGACTTTCTTCCAACATCCTTTCTGCTGTGCCTGCTGTGTAGTACACTAACACCTGGCAAATACCTAGTGCCACTGGATGACAATAGCTGCATGTCATAAAAAGATCCACAAGCCTATCATCACTCTCCTGCATGATTCTACACCATCCAGAGTCTTAAGCTGCTAATTTTTAGGTTGTCTGCCCATTATCTGCTCTGTAACGTATGGTATGTTTGGAGGGAAGAGTGAGTTCGCTGATATGAACTATTAGGACATTGAAAGTAGGTCAGTTGTATGTGGATAGGTCTGATTTGCTGGTCAGCGAAATTGATTACCCGCTGCTTTCAGTGTGATTTCTGCTTGCTGTCTGTGGAAGACTTTGAGCTCAGTTTGCTGTAAACAACTTTGTGTTGCTGCTGACGCTGACTCCTACTTTTCTTGTTTGCATGTTCCCTGTCATCCCACATGATGATTTTTACTACGATCAGTCACCACTGAATCATTATGCTTGTTTATTTTTTGGTTGTTTTTTGGTTCATGACATCCTACTCCTTGGCTTGACTCCATTATGTGAAGTCCAATCCCGAAGGCGTCTAATGTCACAAACATGTTCATAATCTTCAAACATTCTGTGCCCACACGAGAAAATCTTTTGTATGCTTTGTAATGGGAGCTCTCTTTCCCCCTTGATGTAAACTGATTTCATGGATAGAATGAGTTCTCTGTTGTATCTGGGAGAAAAGCCAAATGTTAAGGCTTCTTTTTCATGGTAACTGTTGTTGCCTACAGGGAAGCCGCCCGGGAGTGTCGACGAAAGAAGAAGGAATATGTCAAATGCCTTGAAAATCGCGTGGCTGTGCTCGAAAATCAAAACAAGACTTTGATTGAGGAGCTTAGAACCTTAAAGGACATCTATCGACACAAAGTCGAATGATTCCTCAAAGAGAGAGGAGGAACCACGACTGTGTGGAACTGTGTCGTCTGCTTCTGTGGGGTGTCTTGAGGACTCTGGTTTTGCTTATACAGACACACGCACAAACACTCACATGAACACACACTCACACAAAACACTCCTTGTCCTTGCTGTTAAATGTGTTTACATGATGATGTCAATGTTTCTGGCTCTGAATTACCCAGGCACCACAACCAGGAAAAACATGAACCTTGTTTCAGGTCAGGGTTATTGTCAGGGAGTATTACGAGGAGCTTAGGTCCCTTTGCACGGGCAGGCTGCCAGAGCATGCAGGAGGGGAAGGAGGAATATGAGGACCAACTGAAGTTACGGGTTGCAATACTGGAGCAGGAGAATCAGAACCTGACAGCCCAGCTGCAGTGCTTCAAAAACCTGAACATCCAAATACCAAATAGTTACTAATGCCTTTATCACCTAAACTGCACTGCATTTTACATTCTAATTTGATTAGTTGTATAATTTGGCTCTATTAATGTACTGTCAGTTGAAAGCCTTTGTGATGGTCTATTTTACTATGGATGTTTATTAAGGGAAACACTGTCATAAACCAAATGTTCAAAGGGAATCTGATCAAATTGCAATGTTTGTGTTTTATTTTACTCCACTTCAGAACTCCTGATGCAAGCACACTAACAGGAATTAACACCCACTGCATTTATCACCCACCACCCATCCCTCATATTTAACGTACAGACCCACCAGGATCTGTTGTGCATCTCTACAAGGACTTTTCTGCTTCTGACCTGTGGCATCAATATTTATTTGGGCAGGTTTCCCCTGCATTTTTAGAGTTTTGAATACAACTGCATAGTTTGGAAAAAATAGAAACAAAAACTTGTCTTAATATGAACAGGTGTACATTTAGTTCACAACAACAACATACATGCGTTTGTGGAAATTGTATTAATTTACTGTTTTAATTCACTTTGCTTAGTCTCAGTATACCTGGCTGAACTTAGAAGTGCATTTATGTAACTCATTTGTTTTAATGTCAAAGTTGATGCTGAAATCCAGCTTTTTAACTTCAGTGTCGGTTTTATTTAACACATTAGCTGTTGTCTTGTCATCACCACGCCGTATTTAAAGGTCTTAGACAGATGTTTTTTAAAAATGTATTTGCCTCAATAAAGTTCTTACTTGTCTTTCTATGTTGTTTTCACACACACACATTGTACACATTGTTCACTGTTAACTAGGGTACTGACAGAAAAGAGGGCCTACATGATTAGTGTTTGTAAAGCAAGTCAAAACAAGTGAGTTTATTTGTTAACCTGAGCTTGAGAGAGTAATGAAAGAAAAATACCAAAGCACTTATACCTTGAATTAATCAAGCAATCACCCAGGTAAAAGTTCCATTATGAGTATTTGATAAAGCTTTCATTGCCGTGCGGAGTCTCAACCTTGGGTTTCTGCTCTGAGCACGATGTGCTGTCCTTCCGTGATAACTCAACTTGATGGCAAGGACTCACTGGAAAAGCAGATCTTCTCCTGACTCATCTTTTGTTGCCTTTTGTAGATGACAGGCATGTTGTGGTAGAGCCACACTGTTTACACAGTTCATGCTGGAAAAATGTTAATATTTAAACACTGGCATTCTCCTCGAGAATTGGTTGCAGTAAAAGGGAAAGTGTGTAGGTTCTATAGTCAGATATTGGCCAACAAATCCTGATATGAGAAGATTTAACACCAAAAGAACATGGTAAAGACATAATTGAAGTTTGCATTTCTATAGAAAAAGACTAGTGTAACACCTCAAGTAAAGATGTTTAAAATGTCTCTTATTGTTTTTTTGTGCTTCATCTTCACTGCTTTGTGTTTGGTTGCAGTGACTGTGGGTCTCCTGGTTTCACTCCCATGCACTGTTTATTGGTGAGTCATAATTGGAAGGAAAAAAAGGAACTAAAGAAAGAATCTAATACCACTGAGACTTGCCTTGCACCTGGGCCTATTGTGAAACCTTATTCCTGTCCAGCGTATAACAAAACACAGACAACTTCCACACTGATAGAGACAAAACTGTGGAATGCAGCAGTGGGGAAAAGGAAATACTGTCTGAGTGTAAACAGAGACAACAGCAAATGAAACGTCATTGTCTCTGGTGAAGTCGCTCATCACTACACAAATTGATTTGCCTATAATATGTAAAATGCTTCCAAACACAGCTACAGCACACTCTTTAGTCTGAGTTCTTGGTTTGCTGGATTCTCCTTCTTATAATTTTAAGATGAGAAGTGAAGGTTTTGAGACAGATACCCCTCGCGTCATAGGTGCAAAAAACATCTTTCAGATCACAAAATGCATTTTCTTAAAAACCTGGAACAGGCTGTAATGTCATTATTAAATGCAATGCAGCTGTAGTACCAGCAGGCTACACTACAGCACCATGCCTGATCTTTTAGTACAGCATTTCAACCTGTGCAATCATGCAACAAGCCAATCTTTTCTCATACATCCCTCAGTCTCCAGCATCATCACTATTAGTCTTAGGCATCAGCACACACTGTCCCACATGTCAAGCGAGCATGTGAATGGATTAGGATATTCCTCAGGACTCCACTTTGTTTATGTTAACCTCTACTAATCCAACTTAATACTGCAGAGAGATTTGGACTGAGCAGCCATTTTACTCTGACACAGGCAAAGCAAAGCCCTAATGGATTTGTCAGTCATCAGACAAGATCAAATAATTAACTGGCACACAAATATGGGTAAGAAGGAAACGACAGATGTCCATGTTTGGGTTCACAACAGGAAAAATAAACAGGGACACTGCTACAGATATAGCAGTGGTGCCAACCCACCTGGTTAAGCAAGAACAAATTCCAATATATGCTTAGTTTATTGTTATTATAATAACTGTAGATAAATATTAATGAAAAGGAACAAATCGAAAATAGTGGGCCACAGGAACCCACTTGAATCATTGAGATGTTTCTATTCTATTCCATTATACACTGTGTTTATTTTATTTTATTTATTTTATCCCATTAGATCCCCTGCCGTAATTGTCCATTTATTACACACTTGTAACCACCCACTTGAACCGGAACCTTTTCCATTACAGCCACAGTGCTGTAGGTTTTTTAAGATATGTTTACTTGCTGCCGGACATATTGTAATTTCTACTTGCATTCATATACGCCCCCTTTCCCTGAATAAACTGCAAGAGAGGTATAAAAAGCGAACACTAAGACTACAGAGTCAGCAACAGAAGCTAAAACGGAACTCTGCTACTGTACTTTTTTCTGAGCAAATTATTTTTAAAGTTGAACAACATACAAAATTCAAACAATACCACAAGATCCAGAGGTTTAAATCAAAACGGTGGCTAAATTCCCCTTTACTCTCTCAAAACACAATTATTTTGTTTTCTGTCGATCTTTCGTACGTAAAAACCACTATATGGAATCAATATAAATTTGCGAAGCCATTTCTTATCTTAATTCCCCGGCTTTACAGGATGCAATTGAAAGCAACGCGGCAGCGGATGTAGCAGCAACAGCAGCAGCAGCAGCAGTCTACACTATATCGGCAACCATGTAGCGCTGAGAGCAAAAACATCCTCTCCCGACAAACTACAGGATCATGTCCTCTTATTCATTCATGTCGCCATAAAGTAACGGTGTGTCAAAATGTGTGTGTGAAGAAAACCGGACTCGCGGATGGGAATTACAAGGCGACGGAGTCGACAGTGAAACCGAAGCCTGTTAATATAGAGGCACTATCTGCCCTCGCCTGGAGGTTTGGAAGGGGACGGTGGGCTACTCTTGATTTATTATTCTACTTTGGCGTTTTATCAGCTTTTTAAATGACTCCACTTATCCATCTAAGCACATTTTAGAACCGAGAGAAGGGCGTGTAACGCTAACGGATAGCGGGCCAGTTTGTAGTTTGCACCAGGTCTGCCTATCCGCGTTACCGCCCCGTTTTTTCTCTCTTGTAGTAGCGCTAAAAGCACAGCCAGAGGGCTGAAGACAGGCTACACTTTTGGGAGAGGACACTAGTCGCCAAAACCTGCTTACACCATGGGGAATACAACCTCCTGCTGTGTGTCGTCAAGCCCAAAACACCGGAGGAACAACCACTCTCGGCTGGAGACCTACCGGCCGGAGCCGGAGCTGAGTCGCGAGGACACGGGCTGCAATCTCCAGCACATCAGCGACAGAGAAAACATAGATGGTAAGATGCAGACTTACCCTCTTTTCACTGATGTGCCTGAATCACATTTAAATAGCTTAATATAAGAAGAACTCACAGAAATTGCTGAAAATTATTATTATTATTGTTATTATCATCATCATCAAGGTCCATGGTAAAATGGATGTGGACATTGATTTTCGTATTCTGTAAATACTTATGCCTCTGCAGATTCAGGCTGCAGGATTAACAGATAATGAAAACTTGCAACATCTGTGCAAAGGACCCACCCACTCATCCATTACACCAATAACTACAATACTGTAGGCTTCCTTCTCAGTGAACTTCCAGCATGTTGGAAGCCACAGCCATGGGGCAGTGGTTTCCAGGGTTTCAAATTAACAGGGGTTCCCTGAGCCATATGCTGCAGGTCTGCTTTTAGAAATAAGGTGTTATGATCATTTCAAGGTTCATTGTTACCTTCTATTTGTATAACAAGCCTCGTAGCTGGTGCTGGTTTGATTAAAAACCTTGTGATTTGTGGTCCACTTTGTCTCTTTGTTTGGCTTGTTTGCTTAAGAAAATTTTAACCTGTCTGTTAGGTGTGGATGTTGTAATTTTCACAGTCCAGAGGGAAGTTTGCTGAGGGAGACATGACTTGATGACTTGACCTTAAGCTTGCGTCATTTTTCACAATGTATCCATGTGTGAAAGGGTGCGCAGGGTTGGGACAGCGTATTGAAGGGTGAGTGTGAATTTGTGTTCCAGTGGGTGGTGACGTGATAATGATGCATAGTGTTTATGGCAGGGTGCCCCTTCTCTTCCTTTGGGGAACTGAGTAGAAAATGATCAGTAACACATTTTAACCCTCATTAACACCAGCACAATCACATTCTGTTGTACATTTTAGATCTACAGTTTGTAGATCTTACCCAAACAGATAAAAAATTTTGAGAAGGGATGCCTTGAAGCACCATTGTGTCGATTTCATCAGGATCTAATGAGGTGTAAAGTGTGTCTAATTGTGTGTCATTGACAAATAAAAACTTTAGGAACCCCAGTGATTCGTAAGGAAATGGGAAGGAGAGGGACGCCAGAAAGGAAATCATCCCAGCATGCCACCACAGTCAAGAAATTACCAGTGATGCTTAACGAAATGTGCAGTTATTAGAAAACATGAAACATTAACAGGAAGTAGTCCCAATGATAGTTGTTTGGGCATAATCAAATCAGGTCACGGCTCATCAACCCACTTGGCATCACATTGTCTCAGTCCTCAAAATGAGTCAAGACCATGGTTTTCGTCCTGCAGTGCAGAGCAGAGTGGATACGAATAGCACAAACAGCCCCTCTCAGGGTGGTATGATGTCGGCCAAAAGCAGGTCAAAATGTCACTTGGACTTATGTCTGTCTCACTTTCTCTGGCATGGCAGGTTTCTTCCCAGAGCTGTATTTCTCACTGCAAAAAGGGCCAGTCAGCCTCGCTGTACTCCTCCCTGTGAGGATTGGACTCCCTGTAGTGAGTAATCAGGAAAGCCTCAGGGTCTGAACAGTGCCTTCTTCAGCAACTTCGTAATTGACGGAGCAGCCATGGAATGGGTCGAATGTGGGTTGACCAGTGTGGTTTTTAATGACCAGATGGATATTTACACTGTAATTTTGGACTACAGCTTTTTTTTTTGCTGACACTTCTGATCTGGGTCAGGGTAGTAGCAGGGTTAAGCAAAGTATCCCAGATCTCCTTTCTCCCTAGTTACTGTACTTCTTCCTGCTCCTGTTGGGGGATCCCAAGGCACCCCTGGGCCCCATGGATATATAATCCCTCCCAGCATGTTCAGGTCTACTCAGGGCTGTCCTTCTTGGACATATCTGGAACACTTCCATGGAGAGGCGTCCAGGGGGAATCCTAACCAGGTGTCAGAGCCCCACCCTAACCAGCTCCTCTCCATGTGAAGAAGGAAACTCAAGTTTGGTTGCTTGTATCCACAGTCTCATTATTTCAATCATTAGTGCCTGTGGTATCCATGTATTCTTTTGACCCCTTTAATGCCAGAAAAAAATCAAATTTTAGCCCATTTTTTCAATGGTTTAGAGCTGAAACATCTAATTCATTAATTGATGGAAAAAAAAAAAGATCAACAACTGTTCTGAGAATCAATCAGTTATTTTTCCAGTAAAAATGTGAAGGCATTTCCTGGTTCCATCTTCTCAAATGTGTAGATTTGCTTTTGTTTCATCATATATGATAAAATGAAATAAAATAATTGGTAAAATAATCTGAAGATGAACCGATGATGAAGGTAAATAGTCGCTGGTTGTGTTCACAGCACAAAGAATGTTAACTGAATCATATTTAATGTTTCCTCAATATATTCACTAAAATGTCTGTGTAACCCTATAGTCAGTGCATGTCCAATTATTGCCAGAACACAAGGTGAGTCACAAGGATAATTCTTTTGTTGTCTTATAAATGGACTAGAGTTCAAACTAACTAACAAACCCACACACAAAGCACCGTATTGTGTCGTTTACAATAAATGTAATGATGAAAGGAAAGGGAGGGCAAGTGCAGGTCTCAAGCTGGTTTTTTAGTGTTTGTCCTAAGCTGTTTACATAAGTCTTTAGGCAACGACCCTTTGACCCTGTCACTGGACCTCTAATGGCATTCCACAGCCAGAAGAGTCCTGAACATATACCGCGGAGCAACACAGCTTGGTCCAAGCAAATTGATAGTTGAGAAAGTCATATATACTGTAGGTCATCAAGCCCAAGCCTGGATATAGTAAAGAACTGGTATAATCTTGAGTACAGTGTGAACAGTAAATATTGAAACGTGCAAGGAGATCATGTGATTCAAGGAGATTTGATATCTTTCTTATGAATGAGTGAGAACATAGAAGCTCAAATGTTTATCTTGCCTGTTAGTTCTCATACAGATGGGCAGCATGATGGTGATTAAGTTCTCGAGGTCGGGCTTTCCATCCGCAGACAAGCCTTTCATTGCTGACTGCATGGCAGCTAATGAGCTTCTAACTATCTCTGAGTGATAATTTTAGTAGTTATATGTAGTTAAAATCACTGCACAGATGTTTTATTTAACTTATGTGTTTGGTGATTTTTGTCAGACAGTGTCATGGTTATAAAATCAGGATTTTAGCAGTGCAGAGCAGCAGCTTGGAAATGATATCACTGGCTCCAGTAGGCAAACAACAATGACATTACAAGCCAAAAACTCAGTTTTCCCTGTCTAAACTGAAAACTGAGCTTCAGAGGTTACATTTTAGAAAATACCCATGGACAGGACCTTAACCCTTTTTCAAACTTGTTTCATTTTCTGGCAACAGAAATAGAAAAACATGTAAATGAGAAGGAGGAGAGAAGCAGACATAAAGGGCTGAAACCGGCTAAAACTAGGCAGAATGCAAATACTACTACGTGGTCCAAGGTTTTGCCCTAATCTCGTTTGATTTGGTTTTACCTAAACAAAATACAGTGGTATTGTTTCCATATAGTGCATGAATGTGTGTTTTTTGTGTGGATACATTGAGCATGTGATTACAGAAAATCAGCCATGAGAACTGCTGACAGTGGTGATGACACACGAGGACACTCTCCCGTGTGCGCAAACACAACACACAGTGCTCATTGAGAAGCCTTCTTTCATGTAAAAAGGGTCTTTCAAGTGGACCCTAACACAAATCAGCAGTAAAATCTGATTTGCAAGAGCAGTTGCTCACTTTCTGTATATTTCCCTGTGTTCTGATCATAATTTATGTCAGTCAGAGGTAGAGGCTGCAGATTCGTGCCTATTCTGGAAGCCAGTTTATCTCTATACCCATTTGTGTTCAGTTTGTCATGCTATATAATTTATATCCTACTTCACAGCACGTATAAGTATGCCAATACCAGAGAATGGGCCTCTTTTCACATCACTTCTCTTTGACTGTGATAAAGACATGTCGACTACTACAGATATACAGGCCTAAAGGGTAGTTAAACTTTATGGTTGCTATCAACACAAAGGTTAAGCAATTGAATCCCAAAGGGAGGAAATCACTCTCAATACTCCCACTTTCCAGCAAGTGTTGTTCGACCGGTGGTTTGTGTGGTCACTGAGCAGATTCCGCAGTCGAGGTGCTTTCCAAACTAAATGTGTTTAATATGAAAAATGCATAGGTAGTTACATAAGGAAAGTAAAGTCTATAAATGGTGGCTTTTTGGATATTGGATGTTGTCAGACGGCAGCAGTGATGTGGATATAAAGCCATACACACAGCACAAAATACCTCTTTACACCTTTATCTGAAGCTAAGGAATCCAGCAATAAGAAGTGGCAAAATCTTAAAGGTAAATAGAAAGATATTTAAAAATAATTTCTACATTTCTTGATGATAACGACATTTTCACTTGAGCAATTTGCTAAGTTTTTTCCTTATTTAACCTTATTTTTAACACAAGGGAAACTGCATCAGCAACAGCTCTTTTCTTAGGTCCTTTTGAGAAAAAATAGACCAACTGAACATCTATTTTTGCAGCAGAGGGAGACGAGGAAGTTTAGAGTAATAGGAGAGGGATATGGAGGACAAGATTATCAGCGATTACATATCGTCATCTACATGTATCTCATTTAGCTCAACATGACCAGGTTCAGTGCCACTGCAGCGCTCTGAAGAAAGAGGGACCCACTAAACAGCTGAGCTATTTTTAGCCTAATTTGATCAGAAGACATTGTAATGTTATATTTCTGCGCAGCTGCTCTAAGTGAAGGTGATGTCGCACAAATAGGAGAGAAAAGAAAGAGATATGGAAGACAAAACAGATGGATCTCTCACCCTGTTTGGGTTTTACTTAACACCGACATCTGTAAGTGAGCAATGGCTCCAGGCCCAGCATTTGTCTGTCTCATCAGTGTTAAAGTTAGTTATTTCTGGAGTACACACACACACACACACACACACACACACACACACACACACACACACACACATTGATGAGTCCCGCTAGCAGGCTAATTGAAATCTGGACATGGATTATTCATGCCT